AAGAGAGTTGGGGCTCTCAATTAGTCCACGAGTGCAGTTACGAAGACCTCGCAATTAGTCCCGAAGCGGTTGTAATGCTCCGGCGGGGCGGTGTCACTCGCCCCGTGGTAGTTGTGGCTTCCACCCGGTACCACGCCCAACTCCTCCCTTCTGGACAGTGTTGCTCAACTTAACGCGAGCCACCGTGGTCCATTCCAAGTGTCCATGCCGTCCCTCAACGACATGGCATGTGGTTGGGGAGAACAAAAAAGACTAGAAAAAAAAGAATAGCTCTCTCGCCCATTTGGTTCCCTCACCCTTTGACGTTTAGGCGTTCAACACGGGGCGCAATTTGAACTTCCTGACTAGAGTTCGTTTTCGGGGTCGGTTCCGGACGTCTCGCACCGATCCAAGTGGTAGGTGCCTTGGTCCTTTAACCTTCATCCCCTTACAAGAGGAACAGATCGCGCTGAGACTTTTTTCCCTTACAGGGATATAGGTCTTGGGGTCGCGGTGCGAGCACCGGTATCCCCCTTCTGTTGAGGCCAAAGACTAGGAAAAGAGAAAATCCATTTCAATGCTATTTCCAAGTCCATTTCAAGTTGCCTAGGGTCCCCTGCCTATGCAATGCAATACTCAATCCTCAATCATTCAATCCAATGCTATTTCCAAGGCTGATTCTCATGGCTGGTCTGACAGCCTCCTATCAACAAGGCCATCCCCATGGCCGGTCTGGCGGTCATTCTCTCAATAGTCATTCTCAAGACTAACCCTTCTGCTCACTCAATCCTCAATTTTCTCATTCCTCAACACCCAATTTTTGTGACCGTCCCAACGGTCCCTGCCCTTCTCGACTATAAGGCTCCGCCTTTTTTATCTTTTCCTTCTCTTTCGCATTTTCCTTCCGCCCCCTTGGCAATTTTATGTGGTCGACCCACCAGCCTTTTCCATTTCCTCCATTCAACTCATTAGCTATTTCAACGACCGACCCACCGGCCTTTTTCATTTCTCTCATCCCATTGGCTATTTCAATGACCGTCCCACCGGCCTTTCCCATCGCTCTTATTCCAGCACATTCTCAATCAGCCTTTCTCAATCAACCTTTCTCAATCAATCTTTCTTAATCCAACATGCAGGGGACCTCAGTGCCTATTTCAAAAGGAATGACCCTCGTCAGGGGTCATTCTCGAACAACTTGGTTAGGGTCGTTCTTATCCATTCTCAAGTCGAACAGCCTGGTTAGGGCCATTCTTTTCCATTCTCAAGTCGAACAGCCTGGTTAGGGTCATTCTTTTCCATTCTCAATGTTAGTGCCCGAGGGTGTGGGCCTCGAGGTTACGGATCTCATTTTTGTCTTGGAGGTTAAAAGGTGGCCATCTCATCTTTTGCGTGTTGTTCTCTTCCTTCCATTTCTCACAGTAATGTACCATCCATTCTGTACAATCGACTTAGCGTCTAGCACTCGAGTTGGGGCTCGCGACCCCAAGCAGCACTAGCCCACCCGGCCGTTCATCCATAACAAAAGACAAAAGTGCCCCTTCCATTTTCACTCTTCCTGATCTCTCAGGTAACGGTTATTCTCAGTCTTATTCATGACTCAGTTGGATTAGGCTCCTAGGGAAGGAGTGTTCTTCACGCCCCTTAACCCATAGGTTCCCTAACCTCTCTTGTACTCGACCAGTCATTCAATGCCATGGTTTGCTCGTCAATCCGTACTCAAGGTTTTCCTCTCTCAAAAGCATAATCTTTGTTCCATCCAAAATTCACAATACGCCCTCTCCCAATTGGTCTTATCCCAATTCCCATGTCTTTGTCTTAGGTACCCAAGGTAGCTCATCCAAAAGTAGCCTCAACAACTATTTTTTACTTTAGCGTGACACAGCCTTAGCTCGCCCTCTTTTCACTTCCTCCTTAGCAAGCTTGCCCATATTATACACGTTCTCGTCATTCTCATATCTCTGCAGACAGAAAGCAACGATCATTTTCAATGCTAAGCCAACACCTAGTTCCTATTACTGCCTTGCGCCTCGTCTCACCTAGTTCCTTGTCCACTTCGTTCCTCGGCAGGCTTCCTAACCCCCAGGCCGTAAGTCTCGATCTCTCTTTTCATCCTTACAATTTTATGCAACTCAGCCTCGTTGAAAAAATTCATTGGTGTGGCTTCCACCGATGCTCTTGCGAGTGTCCGAGTCTTGATAATCCATTCGTGCCAGATTACATTGGTCCATTGCTGAAACCAGTGACTGGGCGTTGGCCCGAACTCGTCCTCGCATCTGAAAGCCCCATCGCCTGGCTGGTGCATCGGAGGCCGCCCCTCTTCCCTAGGCCTTGAGATTCCATCCCTCTCATCCCCGCTGGTGATTTCTATAACTTCTCGCACATCCTCCTCCTCGTCCCCCTCGTCTTCAGTCTGTATGGGGCTATACCCACCAGCAAGGTTCTTTGGATCGTAGGTAAAAGGGATCTCTGTCCCTGTCCAATACCCCTCGCAACTGCCGTGACCGCTTCGTCCTTCAAGCGGGCTCTCCCTTTTCTCCTCGTCCTCCTCACGTTCGTCACGCATACCTTGTCCCCCGTCGCTTTCCCCATGCCAAGTCTCACGTCGTTCGCCCCTATTGGCCGCTTTCTCGTTAGAGACCCGAGCCTTATCTCCCATTTCAGTGTTTCCTCCTTCTTCCACATTTACCCTTCTCTTTTCGCCCTCACTGTTAGATGATATTTTTATATCATCTCCCTTGCGGAGGGGTGAGGGTTTCCTACACAAACATTTTCTTCCACCCCTGCCTACCACTGGCCCGCCCATGCGCCCCATGTACAATTTTCTCTTCGATGTCCTCCTCCCTTGGCTTGGTCCAGCTTCTTCCCCTCCGGTAGGCCTGTTGATTGCCCCGTTGTCGTTCTCGTTGCCGAATTCCATTTTTATCTTTTCTTGTTTTACTCCTAAGCCCTGTATAACAAAACAACACCCGCAATATCCCTCATACACTTACGCCTCCCCCCCCCTTAGGCCGGTAGACGTTCCCAAAATGCACCCAGTATCCCTCGCATCACGCCCTCTTTATACATGCGAATGCTTCGTTTGTGATGACCCCATATTTTTCCCGTCAAAAAGTATAGTACAATGCCCCAAACATCCCTTCCCGTTGTCACACAAGCCAGATATTGCAACCCCCAAGTCATGCTACCTTTCAACCTCAGTCAATCCAAGCCAAAACATCAGTCCCAAAAAAAAATGACAGTCCCACGAACATGGTCAGAGACAAACCATAGTGTGGGCAAGGCTGTAGTTAGTCTTTAGCTTGTGGCTCTTCTGTTTCCTTATCTTCGGCCTCCTGAAGCCATTGTTCCACTGGGTCCCGACTTACAAACCTGACCAGTCGTTGCCTCGGGAAGGACCCTTTCAATCCAGTTCCATCCAAATCTTCCAGTTCGAAGGTGTTCAGTCCCACCCGCTTGGCGACCCGGTAGGGGCCTTTGAACCTCCTTCCCAACTGTCCCGATCGAGTACTTTCTAGTGCCGAGTTCCTTAGCAGTACCATCTCCCCCACCTGAAGTAGCTCCTTTCTGACATTTTTAACCTGGTCCCATCTTGCTTTGTCCCTCATTCTGTTGTCCAGCATCCGGCTGGCGATGTCTTCCATAACCTCCTCATTCTTAAGGATCTGTTGACATCTTGCCTGGATTAACTCTTCAGTGGTCATTTGCGGATCATCATCTAATCTATCCCAGGTAGGTACCAAGGCTTCCACAGGAAAGTCGATCTCTCTTCCGTACCAAAGCTCTGTCGGATACATCCTGTTGTTCTTTTAGGAGTCATATTCTCTGCAAAGATAGCCCGCTCAAGATACCTCGGTCAGTTCCCCAGATGGTCTGCTGCGAGCTTTTCAATCGTGTTCTTCAAGGTTCGGTGCCCCCTTTCCACCGGTGCATTGGCCTCAGGGTGATACGGCTCGATAATTTTGATCGGTACGCAGAGTCTCTTAAGCATCCCCAATATTTCTGGGTTCACAAATTTCGTCCCATTGTCTGCTATAAACCTCCTGACGAACGGGTGCCTTAAGTAGAAGTCTTCTATCCAGTCCGCTACACTCCTCCCTGTCTTTTTCTTGAGGGCGACTGCCTCCACGAACCCACTCAAGTTGTCTTGCGCATCCAGGATATACCTGTACCCATCCGTTGATACAAGCATGACCGCAAGGTCGAGGTGGACCAGATGTCCCGTCCCTAGCACCCGCGTTGGTCTAAGCGGCTCGAAGACTCGTACCGAGTTTCGTTCTTGGCAAATGAGGCAAGTCTAGCAGTATATGGCGACCATGCCTGTCATGCCTGGCCAATAATAGAGCGGCGTTATCTTTGCAAGTGTTCCTTTGGAAGACCGATGACCTCCAGCTAACCCGTCATGCATTGTCTGGATAACGTTTACTTGCCTAAACCTTCCGCACACAACCCTTCTGGGCATAGCACCTTCCTCCCTCCGGAACAAATGCCCGCCCCTTAGGACGTACCTTTCGGCTTCTTCTCTTGCCCTAATACTGACTTCCGTAGGTTGTTTATTTCTTACCAACAACAACCCGATCTCCCGAAAGAGCCCTTCGTATAATTGGACATAGAAAAACTCCTCTTCTTTTTTGCCCCCATCCTTTCCTTCCTGCATCTGATTTACCATCCATTGCAACTCTTTCCTTTCCCAAGATTCCACTAAGCCCATCACTGCCTTCCGGCCCCCTTCGACCGCCATTGCTATCAGTTCCTCTTTCGGTCCTACTATCGCTCCCCATGAGTCATTTTCTTCTCTGCGTCCTCGAGTGGTAACTGGTCCTTCTCTAAGTTCTGCTACTACGGCAGGTGCCCCTTTCTCCAAGGTCTGGATCAGTAGTTCTCCCGATGTGCATTCTCCGCTCATCATTTCGTTGTCCACCGCAAGAGTTCCTCCTTCGTATTCGAGGAAGGCGTCTATGGGCTCTGCATCCTCCATCCCTACGGGAGTGATGCAAACCGACTCAGCCTATCTGCCTTGTTGCGGATTCCAGCAATCCGTTCGATCTTGTAATCGAACTGCCAGATGAATCCTACCCATCTCCCTACCGTCGGATCTATAGGCCTGTAATTCTTTAGGGCCCTGCAACATTCGTCGGGTGGATCCTTAAAATGAACCGCCTCCCAAATATGTAGGCCTGAAAGGTCTTAAGGCAATGCAGGATGGCTAGGACTTCCTTCTTGAATTGTGAGTACCGCCGTTCTGCGGAGTTCAAGGTTCTACTTTCGAACCTAATCGGCCTCTCTTTTCCTCCTTCATCCCTTTGGATCAACACACCTCCTACGACCAAAGGTCCTCCATCCGTCTCTAGGATGAAGGGTCGTCCCACTTCGTCATTAAAACAAGGCGTGGACAGAGCGACTGTCTCAGATGTCAATATGTCCTTGAGTCTTTGGATAACTCCTTCCCGCTCCTTCGTCCAATCCATGGTTTCTTCTTCCCTGATCATAGCCCGGATAGGCTCAGCGATCTTGGCAAAGTTCTTAATAAAGATCCTCCAAAAGCCGACCACGCCTAGGAATGCCCTTACCTCCGTCGTCGTGCGTAGTGGCGTCGACCACTGTGATATCTTGTCGGTCTTTGCTGGATCCGGCTTCCTGCCGTAAGCACCGCAACGAAATCCTAGTATAATCACCTCCGGTACTGCTAGGATACTCTTTGGTCCACTAGCCGTAATATTGTATACTAGGAACCGGCGGAGTAAGTCCTTGATGTCCTGCAGGTGGTCCCACACAAAACGTCGGATCCCTGGCTGGACTTCCGTCTCATCCTTTTCCTGCGCGCCTTTGATCGGATTGTAAGGTTCACATTTTTCTGGGAGCATGTGCCCGGCCACGGCGAGCATCCTGCGTTGCGCTTCGGCCACCGCGTTTGTGAATCCCATAGGTGTCACCTGCATCTGTAGCTGGCCCACGGGGGTGTGCATAGCGGTGTATGGCCTGTCCCGAACATCCAGTAGAAGCTGGTCGTACCCTGAGTACAGATCTATCAAGGAGTAAATGCTCCGACCGGCATGCAATTCTGCTAATAAGTCAGCCAGAGGTAGCGAGTAAACATCCCGGATGGTTACCGCATTATACTTCTGCAGGTCCTGAATCCACCTTAGTGTCTTGTTAGGCTTTCGAAAGACGAACCACCGATTTGCGTATGGCGATGTCGTAGGCTCCGCAACGAAGGAGTTCATCTTCGCTCGGAGGAGGCCCGTTACCTCTCCCGCTATCCCAAATTCATAGGATGACCCCTTGTCATTCCAACACTCATGTTCTACAGTGTGGATTCCGACCGGAGGGATCAACTTCGCATCCAGTCGTCCCTTCTGGTGATCACTAAAGGTAAACGCCAGATGAAATTCCTGGCAGGTCCTTTTGATCAGGCGGTTTTCTTCTTCCGTTAAAAACTCGTCTATTCCTATCTTCATTGTGTCCGCTACCTCATCTGGTATCCGATGTCCCTTCGTCGCCCTTCTTTCTCGGATCACTCGAAGGACCTCTTCCTCCTTCTCCATAGCCTCTTCCTTTGATGTCTCTAGCAGGATCGAGACCGGTTTTGCTTTCTTCCCTGCCGGCTTGTACTTTCGAACACTTCCTTCCGGGATCTTTCTCCTAAAAAATGAACAGCCGGAATTGCCCCCGTCGCCTCTAAACTCGTGGTTGAATACTAATTTCCCATTCAGGCAATATCCCTTTTGCACCTCTCTTTCGAACTTGGCCAAGGCTGTCGAATCCACCCCTACCTTGTGGTATCTGAGGGCCTTGATGAGTTGCAATAGATCGGGGATCTCGAGTGCGATTTCCGGCATGTCTAGGCGCACTTTTTTCCGTTTGGGCAGACTAGCACCAAGTTCGACCTCTGACACTTTTTCTACTACCATAACACCTAGGACTTCGTCCTCCTGCCTCCTCTTCTTCTGGGGCAGGCCCATCTTGATCCACTCCTTCTTGTTGAACGCTTCCTCAATCATGATTTCTACCCTTTCTCTCATACCCTCCATCCGTGCGAAAGCCCCTTTTCTCGTGCTATCCTCGAATGACGGCGACCATGTTGCCAATTTCCCCCTCGGGGGGTCTCCTCCCCTTCCAAGGAGTCGGAGGAGCTCTCCCCGGCCGGTCACAGGGTGCTCTATGTCTACCATGTACGAGCCATCGTGCAAGTGCATGCTTATCATCTCTACGTTCGTGCACCATGGTCTCTTGAGGATTATATCGTGGTCCATTTCCTCCATTACAGTCATCCGCTGAAACGACCAGATCGATTCCTTGACCCCTGCCTTTACAGCACACTTCGTGATGCACCCAGCGCACGGGATTTCCCCGCCAGCTCCCTGGATGCTCCCTGTTACTTCCTTGTTTACCGTACATCCCGTGATTGTTGCGAAATCTCTCCTTATGAGAGTGATTTCTGCTCCCCCGTCTACTAATGCGTCGGTGTGATGACTCCCGATCTGAATTTTCAATTTCCCTACGGGTAGCGCATGAAAGCTAAGCCTCGTCCCGGGTGGCGATCTCATGACTTCGCCGCCCTCTCGGTCGGGCAAGCTCAAACGAATGTCTGCAAAGGCCTTCTCGAGATCCTCCAAGTCCCCGCGACTCCTCTGCAGGTTAGCCACTTCTTGCGGAACTTCCTCCTCCCTCTCCCCTTCTGGTAATTCGGGGTTGTCGCCTATTTCTATTCGGCGCCGGGTCAACAATTGTCTAAGCCCTTTGAGCAACCTAGGGCTAGCCTGCAGCATAGTCTGAAAAGACATCGACACCATGGTTCCTAGTAACTTGCTAATGGTGTCGTCAATTTCTAGCAAGGATAAGATCGGGATTTGGTACCTAAACTTCTTATTGGCAGCAGTAACTTTGTCAGTAGGCTCCTCTTCCCTAGGTTTCCCATAGACCTTTTCCGGTTCCTCGGCCTCAGGCTCTGCCTGGGGTTTCGAACTTCCAGCAACCTCCTCAATCACAGTGTCACGGTTAATCCTTCTCCTAGCCGTCCCTAGCCGAGTAGTCGCGTTCACCCTATCACGTCCGTCCTTTTCCAAAATAAAATTGACCTGCGGCCCGCGCCCCTGGCGTTGATCCCAGATGATCTCGCCAACCGGTTCGGCTTCTATGGCTGTTATTTCTAGCCCGTTGAGCATGATAATGGCTCGCCGCATCCCTCCTGGTGAGTTCCAGTTCACCCGTTCCCCTTGTGGTCCAAATAGCTCCCCCTTTAATGACCTGGTACACCTTCTTTTTAGAATATCATGGTTGAGTTTTGGGCACGCGCGCACATAATATCCTATCGCAGTACAGTACTTGCATTGCTCGTTAGCGGGATCTCTCCGTCCGAATCCACGATTGGCCACCCCTGGCGGAACTACTGCTTCTTGGGGCAGGAGGGGGGGACGGGATACTTGCGCCTGCATAACTAGTAGCGCGCTCTCCATCCTTTCAGTCTTGTTGTCGACTCCGTGCAACCGTTCGTGTAGGCTTTCAATCCCCTTTTTCACCTTGTCGTCCGTCCTACTGGTTAAGTCTATAATCCCCCCTTCCTTAAGCAAGGTCAATGTCTCGATCACTACCGTCTTTTCAGCCAGATCCGTTACCGTACTGAAATCAACGTCCCTGGTGTTTACAAATTTGCTCGTCTGTTGGTAAGCCGACAGGATCTTGTCCTTGTCGAACTCAGAGAACTGTCTGAGGAAATACTTACTGATTATTCGATCCGTAACCCCGGGGATTCTTAGTGCTACCAAGGTAAACTCCCGTAGGAAGTCATTGTACGTTGCGAAGTTCTTTCTCTGGACTGCTGCTAAATCGGCCTCCGTTGCCATCTTTTCGGCTGCCAGATACTTTCTCATCATCACATCCCGGGTTTCTTTCCAAGACCGGCTTGCAGCTACGATGGCCATTATGTCTTGTCCTAGGCTCAAAGACACAAGCTGTCTCAGGTGGTCAATCTTCTCCTCTTCGGTCAATTTCTACAGCGTAGGCAGATTTTCGTAATCTATCAGGAATTGCGTGATGTTCGCCCTATCAAACGTCAACTTTTTCTTAGCATCCGCTAGGTAGCCTTGATTTTTGTTTAATGCTCGCACGAGGAACGACACTATCTTCTTAAGGCCGCCCTCGGAGCTGCTGGCCTCGCCTGTCATACTGTTATCCGGACCTTCCTTGTCGGCCTTCTATCCCTTCCTGGTTTTCGTATTTCCTTCTGGGTCAAACCATCCCAACACTCTTTCCCTAAGGCTCCAGAGTCCTTCGCACCCTCGCGTCACTGTTGGCGTGGTCGGCAGGCGGCTAGCCCTACTATCTATGGCTGGCGGGGTCGTAGCCTTTTCCACGTCCATCCTCGAAGAGTTCTCCCCTTCTTTCCTTCTTTTGCTCGGCGTTCCCCCACGGTCACTACCTTTATCCCCTTGTCCAGTCCCTCCTCGGCCGGTTTTCCGTTCATCCCGGGGTTCCTCCTGCAGAGAGCCTTCTTCGTTCCCAGTCACCATTTCCTCAATCAATCTCGCCTTGTATTTCGCGGTCCTTTTGTCTATCTCGGCTAGTCTGCGCCTTGTATCCGTGACTCTTACTTTCTTAGACACGGCTCCTTCCGAGTTCCCGGGGCTTGTCCTATCCTTATTCCTGCCTTCCTTGGTCCCCTGAGTCCCCTGCCTGCTTCCCCCAGCTTTCCCCGAGCTTTCCCCTGTGGAGATCTCCTTCCGGTTCCCTTTGGTACCATCCGGATTTATCGATTCTCTGTCCTTCTGCTCCCCTTCGCTTTGTGCGGCACTGCCTCCTAAGCCCGGTTCTCCTTCACTCTTATGATTATCTGTCTCCTCCTCCGTTGCCATTTTGCCTAGTTCTGCATAAGCCAAAGAATTCCCAGGACACACGCAATGCGAGGTATTTTCGGTTTCCTAGGCTCCCAGCCCTGTTGGCTTATCTGTATAGTCTCATTTTCCATCCTCGTTTCCTGATTGCCCTTCCTTAAGGAGGAGCGACGACTAGCCCTCCCGCTCAGCCAAGCTATGAGCGTGACTTGGCTTCCTTTATCACAAGCCTGTTTGTAGTGCCCTTGTCCCGTCGGGCCGATGCAAGGGAGTCCGGGTTAGGCATTCTGCTAGGGAAAGTCTTTCCAAGCAGTGATTCCTATTTTTGACCTTCAAGGTTGTGGTCAATCATTAGGAGTCTACCCCCTTCTTTGTTTTCCTAATGGGTTTTAGCCATCCGGGTCCGAGGCCCCTTTCTTATTCCCATCGGCGGATTTCCGTACGCAGCGAACTATACTGGACCTGCCCTATTGGCCTGCCTGCAGATCCTAGTCCCGCTCGCGCCCTCGTGGTTCTTCCGGTTCGGTCAGCTCCTCGAATAGCTCAGCCACCTCTGCCAAATAGCTCTCTCCTATCTCGATTTCCCTTTGGATTATGCGTTCGTGCCCTGTCTGGTCGAAATATCAGGATATGGATGACCTCCAGTAACTCGTGGGCCCTGTTTTATCAGAACGGCCCATGGTTCACGGCGACATCATAGAACATCCCGATGGTTAGAGAGGGAAAGTGGTCTGCCCACATTATTGCCGAGTCTGCCAGCTCTCGCGCCCTTGCGAGGCTCTCGAAGACGAGATCTATCATAAAACGGGGGACCCGGCACCTCAGCGGCGTGGTTGGTGCTCTGAATTCACGCCATCCCCCCATTTCCACCCGGGTAAGTAAGCCCACGTTCCTTCTACCCCTGACTGATTGTCCTATCCGGGTCAACGTCCGGGCAGCCCTTTGAAAAACCGGCGCCAGCTCGTGACCTTGTGCTATCTCTACCCCCAACGAGTACCAACCGATCTCAGGCAGATACATGGTCCCGGTAACTTCCAGATTGGAAAACAGATCGTCCCCGGGTTCTCGGTCGAGTCTCATCCCTGTCCACCGACATTCTACCAACATGAAAGCGGCGTCCCTCCCCAAAGTCATAGCCCGCCATTCTATATCGAACCCCCGATAAGTTGAACTCGACGAAAGGGATACTTCCCTGCGCCCACCGTTATTCCACGGCGGTCCGGGGTACCGGGGTTGGCGCGCCATTCGCACACGGGCCTGAAGTTTCATATGCTCACGTCTTGCTGCCATGGTTACCTTGGTGATTTCCTGCATGATCCACATAGAAAGTGTTACAGCCAATCCTTAGAAACCGTCCACCTACTGCCCCCTTGCCCTTCGTGTTTTCATTCCTCTTTTCTAGTGCCAACTATCCCTCCATACCCCCGGGAGCAGTAGTCTCCTCTGGGTGTTCGTACAGCCGGTAGAGATCATCTATGTAGGTCGCGCCCCGACCTACCTCTCGCCGGATGACCCCCCACATGGTCTCATCACTTATTTGGGGGATTCCCGACCTAGTATTTACCACTGCTCGTAAAATGCAAAGCACCTCACGCCCCTGTTCATCCCCGAAAGGCCCCATCTCTAGAAAGACCCCGTAGTATTCTCGATACATTAATGCTTCGCCGAATTTTAGCCTCGTTACAGCAGTCATCGCCTGCTCCACTCGTTCTATGCCCCCCATTTGTCTTAACAGGAAGGGCGGTAGACTCATCCGTACGACCTCACTTGGTAGCTCAAAGACCCCTGCCGCGGCTACGTTTACCTCCGCCGTTACGTCATCTCGTCCCGGGTCTGCAAACTCAAACCCCTCCCGCCAGGTTATTTGCCATGCCTCTTCGAACATTCGCACGGGATCATCCCTGGAAGCCAAAGCAATCCCAAAGGTTCGCCATCCCTCTTCCGACAGGTGTAAGGATCCCGTCGCATGTACACGCCCCGGGCGATTCAAGTCTACGCCCTTGAACTCCCCTCTCGCACGCCATTCCAGCTCCACTACTAGGTACACCGTATCTTCCACCAACTCTACCCCCACCCAGTCCATCACCGGATTGCCTACCGTACTTCTTGCCGGCAGGCTTATTTCGACCCTGCCTTCTGATATTCTTGGTGGCAGGATCCCACGAGGTCTATCCTCCCAGAACGTCATTCGTCGGGCCATCTCGCAATGTCTCCTTTCCCGCTTTCTTAGTCTGCTTGCTGCACCCACCGAGATTCCATGCCTTTCGTGTTTTAGTCCTTCAACCCCCCCTACTTATCATACACTGGTTTTTGCCGCTATCCCGTTTCCATGTCTGCCTTTATTTTGGCCTCCTCGCGTCCCTTGCTGACTAATGTACATGCCCCTTTCTTATGTTATATCATAAATCACATGCATCCTCCATACTGCGTCCTTCCCGTGACGCTCGAACTTTGAACCCTTCTAATCAGGCCACCGCACCTCAAACAGCAAAAAGACATCGTCCACATAGGATGGCGCGGTCGCCGCCTCCTGGCTAACTATGGCGCCCCAAGCTTTCGCGCTTACTTCTAGGTGGTCGTACTTGCCTATTCTTAGGACGATGATGACTTCCTCGGCCTTATCTCCGTAGAAGGGCCCATATTTCAATGAGAGCCTATAGAACTCCTCAGTCAACCAGGCACACTCTATATGCACCCTTCTCATGGAGTCGGTTACTTCTAAAATGTGCTCAAGCCCCCCAAACCACTCGGCTATGAATTCCGGTACCCAAACCGTTATCCGTAGACTTGGAGGTTTGAGTTCCTTCCATCCTCCCATCACAACTCTGCTACTAAGTTTGTCCCATCCCTCGTTGGCGAACATCTTGTCTTCCTTTGGGGTTCGGGCCTCTGCATCCTCTAGAAGACACATCGGGTCCTATCCCATTGCTAACATGGTGCAAAACAGGTGTCATCCATCCTCGGAAAGGACAATCGTTCCAACTGACTCTACCTTGCCTTCTGCTATATCATCCCATCCTTCCTCTTCCCTTATCGGGTTCCAAATCCGCTCTATCCATACATATGACAAGTCCCGGACAACCTCAAACCCAATCCAATCGCACGTGGTCCCTCTCCATCCGTTCCCTGTTGGTATCGACATTTCTATTCCTCCTCTGAGTCGCCGTGGTTCCCAGCCTTTGAAGGGGTATTCCATCATCCTTTCTTCTCTAGTCATCTTCCCCTTTCCTGCACAATACCAGGCCACCCGTCCTCCCTAAGTTAAGTTTCCCCACTCCTCTCAGAAGTCCCAATCCTCTATCTCCCTATCCTCGTCCTCATCACCGAAATCGTCCTCTCCGTCGTAGAACAACTCTTTCACCACCTCCAGAAATGTCTCCCCTATTGCCACAATTCTATACACTATCCCCCAATGTACAGGGCTAGAGACATAGATATTGTCTAAGCTAAGACAACTTAGTATCTCGGCCAGTTCGTCCGCCCAGTTCCCCTCAAACGGCCCCATTTCTACTGACAACCGAAAAAAATTCTGCCTAGCGCATTGGTATAGCCCAAGGTTCGTCATGGACTGGCATATCCGTACTAGCCTTCTCCGAGTTCTGAAAACCGTATCCACTAGGAAGGGAGGCAGCACACATCGCATGGTTCTTACGGGTCGCCTCATGCTTCCTCTATCCCCAAGTTCCACCCGCACATCTACCCTCTCCATTTCCATCTCCCTTCGCTGACACGCAGCCCACACGACCTCTGCTTCCGCCTTCTTAAACAATTCGTCCGGCGTATTTCCGAGTGCCAATTCTATGACCATAGCATTTTCCCTATCTTTCGACAAGTAGACCCACCCCCGAGCTTCCACTGTTTCTCGGAACTCCAAATCCATTAAACTTGATGACAACCTTCTCAAGCTAACATTAACCCATACCGTCTCTATCCATAGGAACGCGTCTTTCCCATCCACCATCACGGTTTGATATGCTGGTTCAAGGTCCGTCCACGCCCCATCTTCTAGGAGGACGACCGACACCCCATCCTTTACATCTACTGGCATCTCTGGATCGCTGGTATAAGTCGGGGGAGACAACCATCGCGCCATCTTGTTTCCAACACCCGGCCCTTGTTTTTCATGAAGGAGTACCAACCGGTTCTTCTGGTCAGGGCAACCCCTTTTCTTAAATGAGGATTATTTCAGACCCCCCATTAAGGTCTCCCTAATTTACCTTCCCATTCCTAAGTACCTCTTTTCTCATAATTCCCTCGGTCGGCCACCCACTTGTCCACATTCTTTCTCTTGGTTCCATTCCAATGGACCTCTATCCTTCTTCCTTCCGATCATCTCTCACTCGTGTGGACTTAGAAGGGAGGGGGAATAAACTTAGAAGAATACCTGTCTAACAATCTAAGCTCAATCAATCTTTACGGGGGAGGGTACATAAAAAAATCAGGCAATCTCACATACGGGCCGATCATCTCCTCACCGGCCATCCCAATAAGGTCTCTCTGCTGGTACTATCGGTAGGGTTTTATCCCATACCTCAAGCACAGCTCAACCGTCGCGAGCGCGGTACCCAGGTCTCAGCAAGGCTTTTGCCCTTTCCTCCTTACCCAGAATACCCCATCCCTTCTTGCCGCTTTGCACATCCATACCGACACCGAGGGTTACCTCGAGTGCCTAAATATAGGGACAAAGTCAGCCGTCCGGGCATTCACTTCCATCGGTTCGACAAGAATCAGCCTTTCCCAAGACCATGCTACGAGAAGCTACTGATCGCCTCCCAAGCTTCGTCTTTGCCCCCATGCAGCGGTGCTCCCTCCGCCAGTCCACAGGCTAGGCCCCGCCTGAGGAACGTTTCACACCCCGCCCAACAGATCAATCGAGCCGAAGCCCGTCACCGTGCGGACGAGGATGCTAATAAGCACTCGACGTGACAAACTCCCGTTAGACAGCTCGGAGGCCTGACCCCCGCATACGAACAAACGGCAGCCTGCAAAGAGAACGATGTTTTCCGGTGCAGACCAATCCTTTCCTTCCGAAAGGCAGGATGCTCGAATTCTATCATGCAAACACAAGTCCCAAGCGGTGCACATATAGTACAAGTGTCCTCCCCTTGGTGCACCCAACGCTTCCTACCCATAACTCATAGATTTTCTCTCAGGACAATGAGTGTCACTCCCCCTACTTTCATACATAGTGGTTGGTTCCTTCTCGTGAGAATCTTCAAGGGTGAGCTAGTTTTCCTTGGAGTCTAGTAACTCCCTTCAATCCCTTTTCTTCACTTGTCTGTCCTTTCATAGGGTAGGATTGTTCCTTCTTGATAAGCCGTTGTGTTCATATTGGTACCTTCAAGCATTTAAAAAAAAAAAGTGCAAAGTGCATTAGCTCACTGGGCTCAAAGAAGGAGATAGAAGGGCACCCGTCCGGTCGGATCACTCCACCGCGGGATTTTCATTGGAGCCTGGCCTAGGCCAAGCACCAACCGCCTGCCAGGTAACCGGAACCCTTCTTTCATACGAAGAGGGAGGGTCGACCTGCGACTTGCCCAAGGCTTCCCCGGACTGGCGACCACCAGCACCGGACGAAGGAGGGCTAGAACCATTTCACAAGGAAATGGTTGATCAAGTGCATAGCATGCATGTTATACCTCCAGGCCTGGCCATGCCATGCGCCCAGCCACCCTCAAATCTGATTTCTCACAAGGGAAAGAGCAAACACAAGTCCGTTTTCCTTATCTTGGGTTGTGTACATGTCAATGCGTCGGGCGCCCCCATCGAAATCGCAAGGGTCAATTTAACCCCCTGTCCGTCACCTCTACCATTTTTGTAGGGCCAAACCCCGGTAGACTTTCGAGCCTTAGTCGACCCCACTGCGGGTCCCAGTTAGTTCGGCCCGCCCACACTCATGCTAAGGGCGCGGGCCATTCGTCCCAAGGTCAACCCCACCTAGTACTTTGAGATGGATGGGGGAGGGTCATCGCGCGAGAAAGCTTTGACATTGGGGATGTAGCTCAGCCCTCACGCCGGGTGGTAGTCTCGCTGGTCGCTTCGCAACGCTGATTTTTTTTTATTCTTTATAGTGTTTTCAAGCAATTGCTCATTCCAATACGCAGGCAGTCCAGGGGTTCTTTGAGCCTTTCTCTTCTATTGTGCGTAGGCTAAGCGTCATCCTTAGGCCACGCACCATTTCCCTAGGCATTTTGGCTAGATGGCGTCATCGGGTGCGGCGGGGCCGTCCTTCCCCTCGCCTCTACGCATCCATCGGATCTCACAACTTGTTTCCCACCTTATTGAAGTAGGCCCCTTAGTCTTTTCGGGGTCCTCATATGCATGCACGAACAACATAAATCACACTTCCAAGTCTCAAGTGCAAAAGTCATTTTCATGAATTGGCTCTATGTTAAGGGTCCCCTAGCCCCTTTGTCCCTCTTCCCTTTCCCTCTTGGTGCCAGTTCCTCTTGCCCTTATCCCGATCAAGGCATTTCTAGCCATTACTCACCTGCACAATCCCACACAAGCAAGAACATCCATACAATGTCCCCCGTTGGGGGTCAACACATAATCCTTCCCACATGCCTATTCTTTCCATGCTCTTTGGCTGTGCTTTGTTCCCTCTTTGTTGTTCAATCAGCCCATCCTCTTCTCATAGTCATGCAATCGGGGAAACGGTTGAGTCAAACAGAGCTCACTTTCAACATATGCTTTCTTCCAGATTCCGCCTCTCCCACTTCCTTTTTTGGACGTAATCTCTCTTGCCTTCTTGGTGGCACAAGGGATCGGCAACCCCCCGTTGTCCTCTTTCTCCACCAAGTGAGTTCTGATTTCGTTCTCCGCTCGTGCCCTTGCAATGTTTTCCAAGTGAAGGGGGGAGAAAGGTTAGTCATATGCTAAGTAAGGGGAAAGGAGAGAGAGGGTCAGATGATGATGCGAGGAAGAGAGAGAGGAAGAGAGAGGGAGAGAGAAAGGGCAAGGGGGAAGAGGGGAGAGGGAGAAAGAGGGGGAGGGAGAGAGGAGGGAAAGGGATAGGGGGAGAGCGAGAGAAGGAAGGAGAGAGAGAGAGAGAGAGAGAGAGAGAGAGAGAGAGAGAGAGAGAGAGAGAGAGAGAGAGAGAGAGAGAGAGAGAAGGCAAGAGTCTCCTAGTCATAATGAAGTCATCACCCCGTAATAGCAGGCCAATGTCGGTCACCCATCCCTTAGAGAAAGAGCAACTAAAGTAAGAACCGGAACATCCACTCATGCTTTAACTTGACAAAAGTGTATAAGTGAATTAGTGGAACACATGCATATGAAGAAGAGAT